ACCACTGAGCTATGGTGTAGTCGTCATCCCAGCAGAGACCGTTCGACATTTTCTTCAGACTTCGTAACTCACACTTCACGTACAAACTAGCACGCGGGGAGCCCCAAAACATAAAATACTCATTGGTTTGAGGGAAAGACGCAAACGGGGAAAGTCTGAACTCTTTTTATCACTAATACTTGTCTCTTGTCTCCGCTTATAAGCTATTTCACAATATAAAGTGTCAGCGAGATCTTCTCAGGAATAGGAAGCACAGAAGTCCATCAAACTCTTTTCATGTGTTTTCGGCCTTCACATTTGGATTGCCCGCAGATTGTTCTCTCGTTGTGTGTGTGCGTGTGTGTGTGTGTGTGCGCGCGTGCGCGTGTGCATGTGTGTGTGTGTGCATGCGTGCGTGCGTGTGTGTGTGCGTGTTCGTGTTCGTGTGTGTGCATGGTACATGTGTGTGTGTGTATGTGTGTGTGTGTGTGTGTGTGTGTGTGCGTGTGTGTGTGTGTGCGTACGTGCGTGCGTGTGTGTGTGTATGTTCTTCGTTGCGCACATACAGCGGCTCAAGGGATCTGATCACCGAGGGTCTAGTTCTTGACGTGGATGACGATACCTACTCGCATCTGTCAGCGAGCAGGTCGACGTCCCGAATGGAAATGGTGACTTCAGAGGTCTGGAACTACGAGACCACCTGTCCGCGCCATCCGGAGGCATCCAAAAGCGACAGCATCGGGCTGGGGGAGCGCCCGCCGGTGAGCTCTGACCAGATGAGCTTTGCATGGGGCAACGAGCTCTCCAGCTTTGGCTGGGCAAACGGAGCCGTACAGGACGACGACAACGAGGATGGGGCGTCTATCTACACGGAGACATATCAAGCGCTGGCCGACAGCGAACTATACGGGCAAGCAGGCGAAGCGGGGAATTCTCCGGGGAACGCCCCAGAGCTACCGGAGAGGCCCAGGAAGAAGACGGGTTCCTACAGGAACATGAAGAACAATCAGATTTATGTTTCTAACAAGGCCAAGGCCAAGGCGCCGCTTAGCGTCTCTACAAGTGCCGGGTACAAGACACCGCTTAGTATCTCTAAAAGTCTCCGGTCCAAGATGCCGGTTAGCCTCTCTAAAAGTGCAGGGTCCAAGACACCGCTTAGTGTCTCGAAAAGTGTCAGGTCCAAGGCGCCGGTTAGCGTGTCGAAAAGTGGCGGATGGGACGGCGAGTCCGCCATGTACGAGGACACCTTTGCAGTCAGGAATGGTATGAGTCCGAGAACCAGCGGCTGGGAGAACATCAGTGCGTATGAGAACAGTGCGGTGGTCGCCGTGACAACTGCGGCTACCACTACGGCAACCAAGAGCATGACGCAGAGGAGCAGCTGGGACAGCATGGCCGACTACGACGACACGGCCAGGGTGCCGTGCTCCATGGCCTGCTCCATCGCCTGCTCGCGCAGCACCAGCTGGGACAGCACGGCGGACTACGAGGACACGGTGGCGCCCAGGGCGTCGGGCCGCAGGAGCATGTGCTGGGATAGCATAGCGGAATACGACGACACACTCTCTGCCCATATCGCGCACATTGCCACCGCTAACGCCGGTCTGAAGAGCACAGGTCCGATAAACACTGGTTGGGATGGCGACATCGAATACGAAAGTACAGTCGAGGTCAGAACCATTGATCCCAAAAGCACCGATCCTAAAAGCTTCACTTGGGAGGCCGACATCGAATATGAAGGGACGGTTGAGGTCAAAACTGATGCCGATAGTATAACCGCTGTTCCTAAAAGCACCGGTCCTAAGAGCTTCGGTTGGGAGAGCGGCATCGAACATGAGGGAACATTCGAGGTCAAAACCACCAGTCCTTTACCCCCTGGTCCCAGAAACACCGGTCCAAAGAGCTTTGGTTGGGAGAGCAACGTTGGATACGATGGTACAGTCGAGGCTAGCCCTGCTGGTCCTAAAAGCAACAGCTGGGACAGTGCCACCGAATACGATGACACGGCCACCACTAAGCCCGCCGCCACACACACTAGAAGCTGCAGTTGGGATAGCACTGCCGAATACGACGACACAGTAGCAGCAGCGGCCAAGCTGAGAGCCGGCCCTAGAGCGAGCGGCTGGGAAAGCATCATGGAATACGAGGATACCGTGGCCCCGAGCCATGGCAGCAACGTCGACGATGTAATATACACAGATGCCACGAGTCTGCAGGAGACCATACGCGACGCGTTCATGAGCTGCAATGCCGACGCTGAACTGTACGAAGATTTGGGAGAGCAGCCGGAGGACGGGCAAGCAAGCATGTACGACTCCTATGTATAGAACAAGAGACGCCAGTCATGCCGAGAAAGCTAGATTTATTATTGATATGCCTTCCCTCTACATCGAGCCAGACCTCCGTTTATGGAATCGGATTGGATCGGGGCATTCTTATGCGCCCATTCCGGAGCAAACTGGAAATTCATGTCTGTATTCTCTGTGTCCGAAGTTCAGTTGATACAATTCTCGTCACCCCCCCCCCCCCCCTCCTAAGATGACAACAGGAGGCGCTGTGTCCGATTTTTCAACTGTCGTAGATATTCGTGAACAAGTGTATACTGAGTGCGAGTACACACATACGTGTGTGTGCGTGTGTGCGTGTGTGTGCGTGTGTGTGTGTGCTTGTGTGTGTGTATGTGTGTGTGTGTGTGTGCACCCACGTGTGTGTGTGTGTGTGTGTATGTGTGTGTGTGTGTGTGTGTGTGTGTGTGCGTGCGTGTGTGTGTGTGTGTGTGTGTGTGTGTGTGTGTGTGTGTGTGTGTGTGTGTGTGTGTGTGTGTGTGTGTGTGTGTGTGTGTGTGTATCAGTAATCACCCTGTGGGACCAGGGTTTACATTATGCCCATTGTCTGGAAAACAAGTCGCCCACACTAACTCTTTAAACACACCTGACGGAAGTTTTCCATTTGGAATGTTTTTATTATCTTTGTTATTATCACTATGCATATATGCACATGCGTTTCTGCCATTTAGCGATCTTTCATAGATCCTCACCTTGTCTTCTTTACTTCCCCGCCATCTCTCTTGGTTTTCCCCAATGGTTCTTCAGGGAGGATCTACATGAACTTTGAGCGGCTCCTCTTTTGTTCCCATAGCGGGCACTTAGAAAGCTTTCAACTTTGCAACTTGCAACCGTGACTGTGGAAACCGTCCTGCCACTTGATTCTGCTTCTTGCGTGCATGCAAGAGTGTGCGATTGTAATATATTTTTGCGTGCGCCTAACGTCTGCAGAGAGCTCGCTGTGCCGATTTCTTTTTTTCTTCTCCTTTCATCCCGGCTGCTTGGCCATTGGTTTGGCCTGCGGATACTGCGTGGCCTCATCCCATTGGGCTTCGGCCACAAGTCTTGCATTTCAATAACAGAAATGCTCTTTTGGCTATTATCGATATCGCTTATACCGATATTCTCTTTTATTTTTTGTTGGCACCTGCAACCTGTTAACACGAGATCGAGAGTTCGGTTTTACTAGATTTTTGGAGCATTTGTAAAATTGTAATATTCATGCTGTACTATAGGTATAGGTGTTGTTCATTCCCTGATTTTGAGAACTATCCAATCTCTCTTTTTCTTCCCCTTACTTAGCAATTTGCTAGCTTTGTGCTCGTGTGTGTGTGTGGGGGGGGGGGGGTGTGCTCGTGTGTGTGCTTGTGTGTGTTTATGTTTATATGTGTGTGTGTGTGTGTGTGTGTGTGTGTGTGTGTGTGTGTGTGTGTGTGTGTGTGTGTGTGTGTGTGTGTGTGTGTGTGTGTGTGTGTGTGTGTGTGTGTGTGTGTGTGTGTGTGTGTGTGTGTGTGTGTGTGTGTGTGTGTGTGTGTGTGTGTGTGTGTGTGTGTGTGTGTGTGTGTGTGTGTGTGTGTGTGTGTGTGTGTGTGTGTGTGTGTGTGTGTGTGTGTGTGTGTGTGTGTGTGTGTGTGTGTGTGTGTGTGTGTGTGTGTGTGTGTGTGTGTGTGTGTGTGTGTGTGTGTGTGTGTGTGTGTGTGTGTGTGTGTGTGTGTGTGTGTGTGTGTGTGTGTGTGTGTGTGTGTGTGTGTGTGTGTGTGTGTGTGTGTGTGTGTGTGTGTGTGTGTGTGTGTGTGTGTGTGTGTGTGTGTGTGTGTGTGTGTGTGTGTGTGTGTGTGTGTGTGTGTGTGTGTGTGTGTGTGTGTGTGTGTGTGTGTGTGTGTGTGTGTGTGTGTGTGTGTGTGTGTGTGTGTGTGTGTGTGTGTGTGTGTGTGTGTGTGTGTGTGTGTGTGTGTGTGTGTGTGTGTGTGTGTGTGTGTGTGTGTGTGTGTGTGTGTGTGTGTGTGTGTGTGTGTGTGTGTGTGTGTGTGTGTGTGTGTGTGTGTGTGTGTGTGTGTGTGTGTGTGTGTGTGTGTGTGTGTGTGTGTGTGTGTGTGTGTGTGTGTGTGTGTGTGTGTGTGTGTGTGTGTGTGTGTGTGTGTGTGTGTGTGTGTGTGTGTGTGTGTGTGTGTGTGTGTGTGTGTGTGTGTGTGTGTGTGTGTGTGTGTGTGTGTGTGTGCGTACGTGTGTGTGTGTGTGTGTGCGTGCGTGCGTGCGTGTGTGTGCGTGTGCACAGGTTTCTTTTTTCGAACATGGTACAATGTCGTGCAACTTGTTCGCTATCATCGCTTCTGCGATGGGCAAGAGAAGACATTGATTGAGAAACGGAGCAAAGTTTGCATGACAACCTGCCATTGTTTGTTAACAATTATAGTCGAGTGTTTAAATCAATCGTTAGTACTATAGTCCTACCTCAAACCTGAAAGAGAGGGGCCGGGGGCGGGGGGGGGGGGGGGCACTTATAATCAGCCCCTTTGATACATGTGAGCGACATGACAAACACTAATTATAGTAATGGGGAAGGGAGGAGGAAACAATCACAAGTGAAAGAAGTCACCGAAGGTACCTGAATAGTGACTGTTACAGATAGAGCTGCCGGAAAAAGAACCCCTCTAGTCTAGTCTTGAAAAACCGATGCATGACATTGCATCGCTGACGGTTTCGGGCGCTGATTCCCGGTATGATAGTTGATACAAGTAACAGTGAAAGCACAGTGCTGATTGCCGGTATGATAGTTGATACAAGTAACAGTGAAAGCACAGTGCTGATTCCCGGTATGATAGTTGATACAAGTAACAGTGAAAGCACAGTGCTGATTCCCGGTATGATAGTTGATACAAGTAACAGTGAAAGCACAGTGCCGGCGGGCATGTACATGTACTTGGAGTTGAAACTTAGATCCGTTTCCGATCTTTTCTAATAACCAGTTTGAGTAAAAGATCTGGATACCTCCTGCCTATCTTGTGTGACGATTGCCTCCCGACCTAGCAAGTGACATGAAGGTAAAAATAGACTTCTAACTGCTTAGCTCGACAGCAGCAGTACAGTAGATCTACCTGGCAGCGGTAGTTTTCGTTTCTCAAATTTAAATAATTAATAGCCATTTTAGCCAGTTAGGTGCTTACTGCTGGCACTGAGAGTGTGAGTGAGAGATGCAATGCACTGAATGCAGTCAATGCACCCAATGCCGCCGACTTGACGCATGTCTAGTGCACTAACTGAACTAACTACTTCGCTTGCCCACCGCTACTCACTGGGTTCCCAGCAGGGAGTCGTAAAATACCGGGTATTTACGACTCCCTGGTTCCCAGTTTAAAAGTCGTTGACGCCTGTTGGGAATTCCCTAGTAAAACAAGCAATGCTTAACTCGGATACTGAGCCAATAATAATAATAGACATATAAGTGCAATACTTCTGAAGTAGAAGAGAACACAAGCCATGGGAACGAGTTATACTTTCTCCTCTCCGACTTTACTTCGGTCCTGAACCTTCCAAGGGAAGGCTGTTGGTTTGCGCACTGGAAATACAATGTGTATGTTGGAGCTAGGCATCAGGTCGTTGAATGTCTCAGAAGCCTGTCGGTTTTTGTGCCCTATTATCAGGTTTAATCGCACTTCCTGACCGCTTATTATCGGGTTTACAGCTGCGGGCAGTTGCTTCCTAACTCGTTCCCATGTGTTCTCTTCTATCTTTATTATACAATCATGTAAAACAAGTACGGGTATTAATAAACAGCCCGTATAACTTTTTAAGTGATACCATTGTAATCGTCCATTTCTCGCTTGGAGTTGGACTCTCTTTCTCACAGAATGATAATACCGGTAATTATTATTATTATTATGAAATGACCCAAAGGCAATGTGCCTATCGACTCGAGGGGTTCATTGGATTGAAAGAACAGTTATGTTTACGTACGGAAAGCCGGATCTAAACCAGTTGTGTTTTAGTGTAAACCTCTCGCCACTCCGGAGACATATTTTCCACACCTGTGTACTATTATTAATCATTGAATATTATCTTCCGATCATACCCTGGTTTCTCATCATTGTGTTGCTTTTGCCCGTAAAAGAAGCTGTTCACATAATTAACATTATGTTTACGTCCTTTTCAATGTCAGTGTCCTCTGAGCTGAGTCCTCTGACTCCTCTCCATCTGGCAGATGGCATCTGCCGACGCATGGTTGCCCAGCACGGCAGCAGTGGCGGAAGACCAGACTACGCGCCGTTACAGTGTTGGGAAGCGAGCGCTGTTCTCTCAAGACCGGACATGTCAAAAAAGAAAAAGAACAGAATGTTTGATTGTCGGTCGTCGTCAGGGCAGGAAAGAAACTTGGGGAATCAGCACAAGAGCAAATCACTCCCAAGGCCGCCAGTCTCATTGCCAATGCAAATCTCACCGCTTGCACCCACCAGCCACCCGGGTGGAAGAGAGTCAAGAAAATGTGCCACATCAATTGTCCTCACACCGCTATACCTGATATACAAGGAGTCGATACCTTAGCGGTTACCGACCCTGAGAAAGCGAACATCTTCTGTCAACAGTTCGCCAAGAATAGTCAAGCTACACCGTCGTCGGATGCAGATCATCGTGATCTCGCCATGCCTTCTTCTTCGGAAACATTTGCCATCCGCCCTCTGTCTATCGTGGAAGTATTCAAGGCACTGTCGACCCTAAGTGTGCGAAAGTCTACAGCTGGCAGTCTTCCTAACAGGATCCTACGAGAGACAGCAGAAGTGCTCGCCCAATCCCTCACTGCTCTCTTTAACCGCTGCACCACTTACCGATCCCAACCCCTAGAGTGGAAAGTTGCAATCGTTACCCCAATTTACAAGGGTAAGGGAAGTCGCAATGACCCTGCTAACTACCGGCCGATATCTCTGCTGAATGGTGTGGCAAAATGCTACGAAGCGTTAATCAGCCGCCAGGTGTACGCGTTTGTAGCGAAACACAAACTACTGTCGCCGAAACAGTTCGGGTTTCGCCACCACCGAAGCACGGTTGACCAACTTGTGCATATCACATCAACTGTCAGCTCTGCATTTGATAACCAGGCCCAGTGTGATGCCGTCTTTCTCGATTTCTCGAAGGCTTTTGATCGTACCAGCCATCGCCTCCTAGCCTCATGTCTGTCCGGTTGGTGTGCACCTGACTCATTCGC